CCCCCCCCACATGCTGGCAGTGTGCGAAAGTATTTACGGTGTGCTAGAGTGGATTGAACCTCCGTCATCGCTAGCATCGACTAAAGCGTTAGCCAATGCTAACTTTAACGACCTCACCGACTTGCGTTTACACTTCGCCAATACAAGGTGGTTCTGTTCTAAAGCTTGCGTTCTGTAGTGCTATTTTTAATGTATGAAGTATCCGCTTCCACGTCTCAAATAAAGTTAAGCCGGGAAATAACAAAATCGTACTCCTTGCGCAGGTCGCTCGAGTCGTACAACGGGTAGTAGCACTGCGTCGCCACATAACCTGTTCCGTCAGGGTTGTAGTCAGTCAGTCAGCCAGAGTGGGTTAGTACGCTTTAGCTGAAGCTGAAACGGATTTACTGGGTCGATCATGCTAGGCAGCTGATTGCGTTTGGCAGAGGCGACAGCGGCGGTGTTGGCGGAAGACCTGCAACCGGCGTTTGAGCCGTCGCCACGTGCACTAGCGTTCGGGGTTCGGGAGAACTCGGCAGATGAAGCCCTTCCGGTACGAAGGTTAGCGGAAGACCTGCAACCGGCGCTCGCCTCGTTTAACAAGTAGTCTGCTGCAGTGACAAACCCGTCGTGTCGTCGTTGATTAGTGGCGTCGCTCCACCCTTCGTCGTAGATAGGATCCCCGACGTTGGGATCTTGTGTAGGCTCTCCTTTCCCTTCTTCCTCCGCGTTTTCTTGAGTGAGAGAAACTCCCCTCATTGCGAAGTGAGGGGGACTGTTGGGAGAAGACGCCAAAGATTTCAAAAGTCGAAATGTTATAGACTGCCTAGTCTCCTGAAGTTGTCTGACACACGCCGATATGGTGTGTGTTGAGAAACACTACAAAAACGGCCCTAGTTGAGTCCGATATTAAGTGAATTGAACGAAATGCTATGATAATTGCCTCCATCTTATCAGCATAAAATGGGCATTATAAATTCATGAAATAGTATGAAAAATGGATAATGTTACTCAAAGTTTTCAAATCCGAATGCTATATTGTCACCACCCTTAGCTTCTCCTTGCGTGTGTGTGTGTGTGTGTGTGTGTGTGTGTGTGTGTGTGTGTGTGTGTGTGTGTGTGTGTGTGTGTGTGTGTGTGTGTGTGTGT